GCGAAAAGTGATTTGAATCAAGAGATACTTTGCTGACCGTCGATTCATATAATAAGCTCTTCAGAAAAAAAATTTGAACCGATTCTGTTCTCCGTATAAAAAGTCGGTTTTGCGCTAATGTTCTACGCTTCACAATACGCATAATCAAAGCTTTATCAGTAGACTTATGAGCTAAGGTTGTACTCTTCTCGCATGATTTAAATATGAGAAATATATTTCACGGATGATAGATTACAAGTAGGGATGTTCGGTTCCCGGCTCTCATTAAGAACGGGAACTGCAGTTCTCTTATTTTCGATTTTTCATCGAGAATCGCGCCACCGTTTCTGACTACGATTTCTTAGATGGTTCCTTGTTTTGGGAACCAAGACTTTTTGCCCTTCCTTTCTTTTAACAAAATGAAAACACACTATTGACAAAGCTATAAAAAGATATATTTGCTTGTCATCATTTAGAAGAATCCTTTCGTTTACTATAAAGTGAATTCTATTTTGTTGAATTGTTACTGCCTGATAAATTATTTTCTGATGTTAATCCGAAAACCACGGTTCTTTTCATTTCGATTCTAACTCGAGAGCAGGAACCGAGAATTACCGTTCTGGAACCGACAACCGAGCATCCCTAATTATAAGGTAGCACTCATCTGTGATTTGAGTGGTTCCTCGACTTTAGTTGTGCTAAATCTAGTAGTCCTAGAGCTCATCCTCGCAAAAAATGAAGGTTCTTGAAGCTTAGGAAAATTTAGCGATCTCATTGCATTGAGTGAAGCTTTTGAAAAATCACGTTTTTCCAGAAAAGATCAAAATCTTTTTTAAGAATGAGGATCGAGAAAAACTTTTCCTATGCTGATTGGAAGCCTAACTTCCGATGATTCGAATATGGCCTCAGATTAATGCTGACAAAAGTCGAGAAAATGCGGTTTTTCCAAAAAGGTACAAAATAATAGAAGGATTTTTCCGACTAACTTTTTCCCGAGAGGAAAGGACTTAGGATAAAAATTCTTTTGCCGTTAGATAGCCCGCCACTTGAAGTATATAGGCCAATATTCAAATCAAGAAAATCAAACTTCATCTTTCTGACCAAATTGCTGCCTAATTGCCCACTGTGGCCCGGGAGACCCCATGCGGCCAGTTTGAAAAATGTTTAAGATGATTTTTATGATCACCGTAATGAGTTCTACTAGTCCTGAAAGTGCCATACGATTGGCAGAAAGTCGATGTAAAGTCTGATACATTCCTAAAAGAACTACCCAGCTGATAAAATAAGTTTTATAATTAATGGTTTGTTCACTTACTTGTTTGCCTATGATCAATTCTTTTCCGATTAATGCATCCAATGATATGAAATAATGCGATTTGTACTTTGATATACATCGCCAAAATAACATTGTTAATATACACAAATACTGCTTAATGGATTGTACCTTTGATCATCTTGTATACAGCGGCCATTGTTAAGGCAATAATTAGTTTCAGAACAGTTATTTCGATTTTGAACGAAAATCTATCAAAATTATCGTGGAAGCAGTGTAATTGTTTTTAGTTTCTGCACGCCATCTGATAATATTTAGCGCGTTTCAATGAACAATTGTTCGATTGAATAATTGATCAATAAACGGACAATACTTTTGTTGTATAACAGTTGTATTTATATATCACGGACGAAGAGTGAATGGTGTGTCAAGAACTGATATATTATTACCTATGATAAGATAGTATTTACCATATAATTTATTTGGATTCTTAAATATTTGTACAAATGCAAAATCAATTTTAGAATTGAATCGACCGAAATGTATTGTTGTCATATTTTTATTAAAATAAGTATTTCTAAATAATTTACGATACGAATGTTGTAGTGGATCAAGTGGATCTGCTGGCGAACAATACACAAAATGCAAAGGTATTACGGGTATTACTCCTGTATTTTTTATTTTTTTATTACTGATATCAAGTTCTTTATGAAAATATTGAAACATTCATTTATTACGTGACTATACGATTGTTCGTTCTGCTAAAGTAATGTGTCGTTTATATCAATATCTTCTTTATAAGCTCTCAAGAGACAGTCAGACGAAAAGTAATCTCAGCAGCATAATATAGTACTCAAGTATGGCTCATTGACACCTTATTTGTAAGAGCAGTCTCAATCCAAAAAACAACGTTTGTTTAAAACTTTTGACTCATTCAGTTAGTATTTTGGTTCGATCATCTTTCCTCTTTCTAACTGTTTCAAAACAAAGTCATAGTAAATTGAGCTACATGTCTGTGTGTGTATGTCTTCTTGTATGTGTTCTCTCTTACAGCAAACGAGCTGAATCCACCGTTCGAGGCAAGGGAGATTAATTTAGCAGTTGGTATTTTTCATTCCAGTGTATGTATATGTAATCTTCCTCTCTAAGTAAATGTTTTCTAAAGTTAGATAGGGTACGTCAGGTTAGGGCATGCCATGATTTAGTAAATCAGTAAGACGTCTTTCTTGTTCTCATGCTCGTACACTCACAGCCAAATCTCCCTTCCCTCCCTCACACAGTGCGCAACAACGTGGACATCAACGTGGACAATTGTAAATTTTTAGCGGGAGTAAAACACACACTCTCAAACTTTCCCAGTTTGTAGAGGACACCTTCAAGGGTATACGTGTGTAATAACTCATGGGTTAGATAAGCATTCAGCTCTATCGGATGACATATTTTTTTTTAGTGCAGACTATGTGGATACAAAGTTTTAGGTCATAAACTAGGTCCGTGTCAGAAATTCTGCTCGTAATCCTCGATTTTCGTTAACAGAACTCATATTCTAAGGAATAAAAATATCATATTTGGAATCAGGATCTAAAACTGAATCGACTGATGTGTATTTTGAAATTTTAAGTTGATTTTCATTTTTTTCGAATTTTCACGTTGAAAAATTATTGAGATTTCCACCAAAAAATGAAAATCAACTAAAAATTTCAAAATACACACCAGTCGATTCATTTTTAGATCCTGATTCCAAATATGCTATTTTTTTAAATTAATTAATAAATATGAGTTCTGTTACAGAAAATCGAGGATTACAAGCAGAATTCTAACACGGACCTAGTTTATGACCTAAAACTTTGTATCTACGCACTAAAATAAAATATGTCATCCGGTAGTGCTGAATGCAACGAACACCTTGTGCATTGACATACACTTTCGAAAATGATTCGATGACGCGGGCCACTGTGCAAGAAATACTTTTTAAGGGGACTTTTTATTTGAATGAATCTTCCAAATAAGAATTATTAATTAGCTAAATATAGACACATTGTAACAACGGCCATGTGCTAGAATAACTGTTTTTTTTGTGGGACATCTGTTGAATCGGTACGTAATATGTAAATATTCACTGTATGTCTAATAGTCAAACTTTATTTTCACATTTATAACCAGTATATTCATTTTTACATATACAAACTCTTTTCCTAGTAAAAGATTCATTTCCATGTAATGAAATACAAACACCGTTATTTAAACATGTATCATATCTGCATATGTCTATTATTACGCGACATGTTGGTCCGAATTTATTTAACGTACATAAACAAAATTGGTGATAATTTTGGGTTTTCTCCTCTATGAATGAATAATGAACCGTTTGAACATGTTTTATTATATTCAATATTACCTGTAACCCTGTATATTCATAATTACAATTACATTTACACTTGTTGATTATGTTTACAGATGGCACACATATATCATGTTTACATTGCACACAATAATTAAATCTACGGGTAATGTTTTATCCGTCAAGTTTATATGCAATACTAATTGCTGAACAGGTAAAACGGGAAATTTTATATCATAATGCCATGTAGCTTGAAAATCTAAGTTATCTTTTGTAACGGTATATGCATCAATACGAATAAAATACAATTTATTTGTTATTTGCTGTTGCAATGGGTATAGTAAATATACTCGAGGTCTCTCAAAATATTGAGTATATGACAATTTCTATTATATGGAACATGAAATGTTTATTCATAATCAACAATTTCGTTAGTATCATTTGATGTTAAATAATAGATCAACTTTGTAATACTTACTTGCTCAGAATATTTAACTGATGTATCCGATTAAAACAGAACTGTTATACGTTCGCGTTGATATTCACAACGATCGTCTTAATAAGCAGATAAACATAAGCAATAGTTTTTAATTTGTTGTTTATTTTGAATCAGTATATCTTGACTACAGTACCAAGTAAGGTAAGCTAAATCATCATTTGTTATCCATTGAATTGGAAATGGTAATAATAGTGCGAGTTCCTGTTTATTAATGGTTTTATTCGATTGTATAAATAAAGACAGAGGATATATGTCAAAGTTGTCTAACTGTAAACTAGCAGTTAGTTGCGTATTCACCACTGGGTCAATTATGTTATAAAACAATTCATCTTCATTACCAGTACAATCTGAATATCGGTTACAACGCAGTTTTGAATCTATGTATTGTCCATTCTTACAAAGAAATTTCTTATCAATGTTTGTATAATTATATTTAGTCAATCAATTACACAATAAATTTTCATCTTCATCATATTTACAATCACGTACACCATCGCACAATTGTGGTGGATTTAAAAATTTTGTACTATTATACGACTGGAATCAATGCTCTTTTTGGAATGGATTGTTTTGACGACAATAATCGTTAACACGTTCATCGATGTTGCCTAAACAATCATTACGACCATCCCCGGCTAATGTATAATTATAACATACAATTGAATTATCGTTCTTCTTATTTGAAACACAATAAAATTCATCTTTATCACATAGATAATGTGGATAAGCAAGTTCATACTCTATTTTACAATTTAACTCATCAATTCCATTTAGAATCATCCATAAAAGATATCTGATAATTTTTTATAGATGGAGGCTCAAAGCAATAAAAACCGCTCAATGGATATAAATAAAAAAAAGTCGGACTCTCCAGCTCATAATCTGAAATTTTTATTTAAATTTTAAAATTTGAAGTTTTAACTTTTTTTAAAACTTCCCCTTAAAAATAGTTAAAACTTCAAATTTTAAAATTTAAATAAAAATTTCAGATTGTGAGCTGGAGAGTCCAACTTTTTTTAAAATACAGCTCACTCAATTCTGTATAAAACCGCTAATTTGAAATATTTTTACAGACCAGTGTTTCTTTAAAAGAATTGTTTTCTATAAGTGAAAGTGAAAAACCGTGGTTTTCTGGAAACCCTACTTCCGACACTTTTAAAATTATTTCGAGTTACCATCGAAAAGAGCATCGCTCAAAACCGCTAAGTCCTGAGATTTAATACAATCCGTCCGGTCCTTCATACTGTAAAAATTGAAAACTTTCTCATGTTTCCACTCTAACGATGCTACGTCTTCGTTCCCCTTTTTGCTGTTTATACTTGTTTGATCGTACGGCTTGTCCAGCTAACGGTCTCCATTTTTTGCTCTTTTTCAAAAAGTTATCACAATAAAGCTACAAACTAATCTAAAACGGCAATCAGATATTTAAGTAGATTAAACATTTCGAAGATGGAACTGTTCGTAGCTCTCAACGAAACATTGTGGAGAGCTCAATTGGCCTTAAATTGACGAAAACACATGTGGCCAGAGGCTAATAGAGCCGGATTTTTGATATTTTTCTTTTGAAATTAATGGTCAGCATCAAATGTTCAAAACTCGAAAAAGTCTCATTAACTTTGGTGAAAATGTTTTACTAATCACAAATCTCATTTGATCAGAAATATTTGCTCTATTTCCTGGTATTACTAAAAAGGATTTTTGATTTACTTTTTTAATCGACAAGTCAATTTTTCAAGATTTTCAGAAAACTTTTCCCAAAACCTCTATAACCCTTCTATGAGGGCCATATAACATTGTATCCTGATAGTAGATACTGTAGGCTATCCGATGACGTGTTTAGCAAAATATCGACTTTTTATAAAAAAATTTATGTTTCTGACGTGGCGGAAGGCTTAATTATACATCAACATGAGTATTGCAGACCTCATAAAATCCAAGATGAGTCATACTGAACTTTAATGTACCACACATCCAGTCACAGCTACAATCGTCTGATGTTTAATATAATCATTTAATATAATATTATGATTTCCACCTGAACCATCCAAATAATCTGTATTCTATCTAAAAGTTTTCTCCGATGTCTACATTGGCCATTTGTCTGACAATGAAATCGATCAGATAAATCAATTTTACTAGTATCTTGTAAATTATTTATTATTTCATCGTCATTATTCAAACAATCATCACATCCGTCATATAGACGATGTGTTTGACATGAGTATGCTTAAATTCACATTGTTATTTACTGTACATTTGTATAAATTTGCTCAAGTAGCATTGTATGACTTTTGACATAGTTAAAATAATTTTTGTATATCGAACAAAAAGTTGTCCAATTCTTGCCTTAAATAGTACATTTTTATATTAAAATATTTGTATTCATTACACCAAAAATTATATATTAAAGACATTTGGAAAAAAATAATTTTGAGATAAGTTTATATCATAACAAATATAAGCTGGTATAATATTTTGAATGTACGATTTGCTTTATAAATAAATTTGACTGATGGATATGCAATTGAATAATGTTCAGGAAAAATACATTCTTTCGAACAATATTTATTTGTTAAATTATTACAATTGATCATATCTGCATAATACTTTCCAAAGCCCAATAAACATATTTCATTTTGTCAAAAAGTATCACTTTTGTTTGTAGTCGATAAGATATTACGAACATGATATAACTTATATTATAACATGTTTTACATTCTTTTTTAGTGCATACATTCTTTGTACATTCATCATTATCACACAAAAAGTAACCCCAACCACAATAATTGTCTGAACAATCATCGATTGTTTGTATCCAACATACATTATTAATGCGAAAAGGGAGATTTTCATCAGAGTTATCTGTACAATATCGAATCGAATCAAATGAAAACATTTTAGTATACAGAAACCATTAAGGTGCCGTAGGTGAAGGCTGAACAAAAATAAGTAGGTGGAAAGAGGTTTAAAATAACTGAGAAAATCACCCGATACATGCCGAAAGAGATAGAGTTTCTGGAGACTGGTTTAAATAAAACATTCGTATGAATTGTGGAACAGGACTTAATGAAATTACAAAGCTTTCTAGCCGTGTTAAAAAATTCATTTTCTAAAACATTCGTCTTCATGAATCTTGCTCAAGTAACCATTGTCAAGAATATACACATAATTATTATACAACAAAATTGTAAAAACGGAACAAGAAAATACAAAATAACTGGGTATTCGCAAAAGTACAATGGCTAAAAATAGAAGTGCAAATCACATCCACATTCCTAACCAGAGACTTACTCAACCCGTCCGGCACAGGCATCGACGAAAGATCATGGCCACACGTATTCATATTCTGGGACCGCATCTCACTCAAATCAAGCAAACCAAACTGGGACTACACACAAGACATACCAGCAGACCAAGCAATTTATCAAGCATTCACCGGAGTAAACAGACCAGTTACACTACTATGGTATCCGCCAAAAAACGACATCAGAATACTATCCTCAAATTTCACACCCACAACCTCAATACTATCAGTTTTCAGTTCAAACACAATCGATTCATAAAAGACCAAGAAACCTTTACGTTTCATGGACAGATGTAGCAGATTACCACGAAGACAGTGAGATACACCTTTCAGCAACATTCACAATGGCCCTGAAATCATCAGTCAACACAAAAGGACTTCATCTAACGGCACCGCCACCATAAACAAGAAAAACAAAACGAGACAGCTTCTTTTCATTTCATTTTATTCTTTTCATATTAGTGCACAAAGTTTGTAAATAAACACACTAAACAAGAGAAATGTTCTCACGATTCATATGTTCACGCATTAATCCGCTCGGGTTACTCACAGTCACATCCCCACCCCCGCACCCACCACCACCCGGACAACAAAACATCTGATGATCCACACCTAAAACCTCCACACGCCGGCTGAACTCTGGATAATTAACATCATCTTGTTCATTAGACGTAAATAAAAAGCGAGCCTTGGTAACGATCAGTTGATCCTCCTTGTATTTCCCTTGAATTGATACAGGCTTCCCATCCATCAACGACAACAACCTGCTAATTTCACTCCGATAATTCACCAAACGAAAATCTTCAAACCAAACATACTCATGTTCCTCCGTCAAACCGGACCACATATATTGATTCACCGTACTAGGACGCCAAACCTTTTCACCTTTCATAAGGAAATCAGCTAATTCCGTCTTGCCAATACCAGGTACACGCCACATATACATATGACCCTTCTTACTATCAAACCAATAATTGAACCTCATGGTAAAACCACATAATACATTCGGTAACACCGCATCACGTTGCTCAACTATCTCATTCCTACGGCGAGCCAAAAATCATTAATATAACTAATAATCGTTGACCGATTATTCCCGTGCATCACCAGGAAAGGATCCATAAAATCAACCGATACCGACCCAAATAATGATTCTCAACATGATCACATAATTGAACACCAAACGAACACTCATCGATACGCACCGCTTTACGAACAGGATTGAAATCATTCTTCGTACAATACTTGAGCCAACTACGAACACTCTTACATACTGCCACATCAATCGACAAATCATCACATAAACAACGAATACAAGTACGCACATACTCCAAATTAACATCTTCGCTATATTCAATAAAAACGTGGTGATGACGAGCCAAAAAATCATCATGAAATTCCTCACTGACTAAATATCTTTTCACACATTCATCCTGATCAAGCCAATAAAACGTTTGATCCTTTGACCAGTCCACGTGCGTTATAGTGACACTATACAACTTTCCCTTACCAGTGACACGTGGCATAACTATCTTTAACACTATTTATTGGACGGTAGAACACCAATAAAATAATATATGTAATTGCACAATCTAAAATAAAGCAGAACGAAAAAAAACGTGATTCATCACTTGACCTTGTCCAATATCTAGGTCATTTTTCTTTCCCATTCTGTATATATAACACGCACTCAGCGAGTGATCAGTGCGTGATACAAAAATTTTTCAACGGTGAAAATTGAAAATCGTATATATCGTTCATCTATATACTAACAATCTTGCCACGCTCGAATATTTTCCAGTTTTCTCACTATATCTGGTAATGAGTCTCATCACAGTGTTTTTTTAATATTGCTCCTAGAAAAATGCTTATAACTTTTGATTGGAATATCGCGCATGGTTCAGGAACGTCTTATTTCGAAGAGACATGTTTGCTTAACTGTTTTAGATAATAAAATCGTAAAAAGTATGAACGAATATGAGGAGTATTAGATGATTACCAGACACCTGCTCTTTTTAGGATTTTTAGAAACTTTTTCAAAATTCGTCAAATACATGATGGTATAAGCTTTATTTGATAATATGATGTGGTGTAAAAAAAATTGAAACAGAACAGAACAAGAAGAAAGAGGCGAAAGAGTGACAACTTTCTTGAGGACGACTTGGAACGCTTGAGACAGCAACTTGACGAGCTGAAAACGGAGTTGGATGGGGTTAAAATACCAAAATTTTGACACAAGCACCGTTCGCCTCAGTTTTCAAATGTGATAGTGATTTTGTGAAAAAATTCAAATTTGATGGTGAAAACTACAAAATACGAGTGCATTTCTTCGATTTTTGCCATTCGTTTCGAAAAAATGCATTTTCTCAGCCATAAAGCAACAAAGAAACTTTCTGAAAAGGATATGATCATTTATTCTAGTATATACGATGATTATACTCGCACAAAAAGACGTTTTTATCTTATAACTCCTGCGACTAGGTGGGTTTGCAAGATCTGTAAGAGCATTTTACGGCTCTGTTCGTGTTCCATGGCTTCCGAGCTCGGCTTGTATTTTAGAAACGGCAAAACTAGGTTTTTACATTCGGTTTTACACGGAGAACCAGAAAATAATAAATTCGAAACTGTAGAAAAATAATAAACATGAAAATTGAAATTTTCAAATTCCACTCATTTTTGCTTTGAAAAAATCAATGTTTTGGAATCTTTTCTCCCCAAAATCACTCTTGAAAATCTAAAATTAAGCTTTTTCTAACTAACGAACTGAGCTCTATTCAATCATGACAAAAACTACAAAAATAACTCCTACTACGTTTCGCTTTTTGGCTTGCATGCATTTTATGATGAAATATATCGACAACCGAACGGTCACTTGCTGTAAACCAGCGACGCGTTTCAAATGGAAGGGTATTGAACATAATCTAGCCAAGAGACGGCAGTTGTTATGGCATTTTTAGTACCGCAATTAATGCTGAAGCCTTCCACTAATCTAGCTCGACCATTTTGAACCATTGTACATTTCGGTAAGCATCAATTGCCCTCAAATACTGTGAGAGTGGCTGTAATAGCCAATAATGATTTTAGATACTTTGTATGGACCTTG